GCATCTGGGTCATTCCAGCGTACGGTTACAGCGAGAGCTGGGATCTCCCAATCTCGTTTTTCAGAAGTGCTGTCCGACGTTCTAAATGCCATGTCCCATGTCGCCCTAAGAACCCCGACCTCCCCACTGCGCCTGTGGAGCAACATCCCAATGCTGCGGGGATGCGGTTTGCGGGTGTTAAATCACCCGCAAACCATGGTTCAGCCCCTCACGCAAAATTCCAGTTTGCGAGCGCAAATTACTGCACGCAAAATTGGATCTTGATAAATCCGGCCCATGGTGTGTTTGCACTGTGTTGCTTGTGAGTTGCAGCTCCGTTTATGTGGTGATCATATGCTATATGCTACAGTTTCACATGTAGTAGACGATAGTGAACTGCTGTTTTTTTTTTTTTTGGCATCATCCTTCCATACAGCAGTGAAATGGGAAGTATTACTGTGGCAGGAGTAGAAATACATGGCTGTCAGCATTTGTTCTTTTTTGTTGGGTCAGATTCAATTTGGGGTTCTTAAAATTTCTCTATTGCACTTCCCTTTGAGTACATGGCCTGATCACATAATTCTTGTATGCTTTAGGTGTTATTTATAAAGTGTACGTCGGTGGAGAGACAGATGTCTGTTGCATTGAATAATTGATTCATAGTAGACTGAATCACCTCATTCTTTCATCCTGAAGCTTTTAACCAATCAGTTTGCTCTTTTTCTGCTTATTTCATTGCTCCTTTGCTGCTGCTGTTCCCTCAGCTTCGTCTCATCAGGCGCCTGGCTTCTGTTTACCATCCCGCCTCCATCACTCGGCCGCTCGCTTTGATGTTTTGCAGTTTTTCCCAGTTTTGTTCTGTTTCTGATCTTCTGTGAAACCACTTAATTAATAGCAGTTTTTGATCAGCAAGGCTTTTGAAAATGTTTGAGGTTTGAAAAATACCTGTTACATCTAAGAATGACCAATTTCTGCTTATCAAACCTTTCCATGTTGATTCAGGACATGTGTCGACAAGCATATAACTCTGAAGCTGTTTTCAGTGTTTCATTCCTAATCTGATTAATATCATAAGAGTTAATTTAACTGACTTATGGATTAAAAATAAGTAGTGCAGATGATACCATCCAACCTAATCAAGCATAAGTCTTATTTTCTGTCCCTTAAAGGCTTTTTTGTTTTCTTAGACTCTGTGGAGGTTTGTAATCTGTTCTTGTCAGTTTATTTAGCCGAAAGATGGCGTGTTCTGATCACAACCTTTTAAACTCAGCTTTATGTACTTTGAGGCAAAATAGACGACTCCAATATAACATGAGGGTTAATCAAGAGACGTTAGTATTTTTAATGTTTTTTTCGTTTGTGTTGCTGGACTCGGAATAGAACACATCTCCATCTGCAGCACTGATTTACTTGTTGGGGTGTGTGTGTGTGTGTGTGTGTGTGTGTGTGTGTGTGTGTGTGTGTGTGTGTGTGTGTGTGTG